GCCCTCTCTTTCTAAATCTTTTTTGCCATTCGATTGAGCAGTTTGCTCTTCTCCGCATCACCGGCTCGAAGTTTTTCCAGTTCTTCAGCAGAGCCGCGGAGCGCGGCCTCCAATTCTACAGTTTTCTTCTGCTCGGCTTCGAGATTTTCCTGGAGTCTCACCCTTTCAGCCTCTTGAGCAAGGCACTTCTTCGCATCCCGATCATATTCGCCTATCACGGTTAATGTTGTGCTCAGTGCCTGCACGATATAGAATGTTAATATTCGAAATCACTAGGAAATTACAAACAAGCACGTATTGTTTATTTACCTTGGCTTGGTCGTGCGCGAAGCGTGCTATTTCTTCACTGCGGATATAGCCACGCGGATCTGTTGGCGTGCCCGATGGATGGTCCCTTAACTTGAGAAAGTAATCGAGGCACGATACAGAGTCGTGCACTATCAGACCTTCACCACAATACTCATAAGAGAACCCAAACGGGCGTAGTTTTCTCTCAGCCCGGGACCTCTTCGACGTCCGCGGCTCTTCAGGAGATCCTTCTGAATTTTGCTTCTTCGATAGCAACGGACTGCCGTCTCTACCTTCGAACTCACAAAATTGAGCATCGTCGGCTCCTTCCACCTCTTCGGCTCTCTTCTTAGCCTTCTCATCTTTTCTGGCTGCCCTCTTATCGGCCATTTTCTTGGCCTTTGCTGCATCCTGCTCAGTTTTCTGGTCGGTCGTTATCCTTGCTTGGGCCATATCGCCCTCGAGAGAAGGTACAGCCGGGAAGGCATTATCGGCTTCTTTGGCAATTGGAGACCCGACGAAAGACTCCAGATCGGCCGACAAATCCTTGAAAGCGACTGACTTCATTTTTCCTTGACGGCGGGAGTATCGTTCAAGCGCAGCTAATGAATAGTCAAAGTTATATCAAATGGGGAATCGTCAAATACTGAACAGGCTCCTGGCGAATTAAACTAACCTCTGGTCTTGATAATCCTTTCTTCCGTGATCTCAGGCCACGTTATCGCAGCAATCCTCGAGAATCGTTCGGCAATGTTGTAAATATCCACTGGATCGTCGATGATAGGGAGATGTCTATTTCCTGTAAAAAAAAAAGAGAGTCAGTCGACGATGAGGAGTAATTCGCGGCTCTTATATATCAGGTCGGGTAGATTTTCTACCCATGACCTCCGCCCATTTCGTCCGTATCGGCACATCCCTATCAGCGATGGAAGACTCGTTGATCAAAACAAAGAAGTATCTGTCTCTCCAGTCATTGATCTTCATCTTATGGCCACCAGTGACTATATTAAATTTGCTCTTCATACTGGTGTAGTACGAACCCCTATTCTGCAACTTCTCTTTTGTCCTTCTGGTGTTAGTCATCGCGTCAAACGCAGCACGGCTCAACGGAATTCTATGCTTAATCGACATCACCAGCATACTCACTATCAGGCGGATGGTAGAATGGGAGAACTGAGAGATCAGCATCTCTTTGTGATCGGCAAATTCGAGCAGGAGTCTCGGGAGTGGAAACCACAGATGGAACTCTCTGAAGAAACACTCTTAGACGCAGAACCACCCTGGTGGCGCATCCCATGGTCGCTCAGATGGGCTCGGCACCATAAACACTACTTCAGGACCGATGTCGCACTCCTCTTTCAAAGAAACCAACGATTCCATCGTCGATTTGGTAGGCATTATCCCCAGGGGATTGTCGCAGATCGGTCTCATAACTGGCTCCCCTCTCTTCCGTTTAACTTTCTTGACTGGAGGATTCAGATTGATTATGCCGAACTGATTCACCTCATCTTCAACGATAAGAGTGTTCAGCTCGTCCGAGATATCCATTTCATTCGATCCACCTCGTACGTCTTCCACATCTCTTAGCTGCGGAATCAAGAACGGTTCCCTGGTCGACGCCTCTCCGCTCCCTAAAATAGCCCCAACCTGATCGGCGTGAAAGCCCTCGGCTGCTGCTCTTTGGTTTTCCTCCCTGACTCGCTCCTGAAAAGCCCGATCCAACGCGGACAACTCACTGGCATCAGAAGACCGATCTGAATCTGATTCTTCAACGGCGATCCGCTTTCCTTTCGATCTGTCTCTTACGGCCTGGTCATCTTTCTCCATCTGAAGAAACTCTTCTAGAGAAATATCGATCTCGTCGGCTTTCTCCTTAGCCGATACGATCACTCTCGACTCTGGTCGGCTCTCGCAGATCTTCACGCACTTGCTCATATCTGGATATGCGACGGTTTTTCACTTAATCGGAGAAATCAAAGGCGGCACTCGGAACAAAACGCGGCGGAGGTCTGATCGGAAAGATTTCTAACTAAAATAAATGAAGAACAAAGAAGAGAGAGAAGAGCAAATCTGATTTTGACAGAGTTTCGCTAAAGATGCAGAAGTGAAGAAACGGAAGCCGAGTCCTTCTTATTTATAGGAAGGTCTGGACGGTTATCGAGAGTCATCATGAGCTCGGCGACTTTTCACATTTCTTATGTTTTTTTTTTTAATCGGCCTCTTCACCTTCACCTGCTAGGGTTTGACACGTGTCAACCCTAGTCCTGCATGTGCACGCCTAGGCCTAGCCTACATCATCTTTTAGGCGGGAATTTTTCGCGCCTAGAATCACAATCTGGCTCTCATCACCGCGCCGATCAGAAGTCCAGGTAATAATTTCAATTTTATTCTAACTCTTTTTACAGCCGACCAGAATGCATACCAAGCAATACATCATGAAGTTCACCAAGTAACGTACCCTCACTTGCCAAAATTGGTGGGGACTTACTGTTAGAGATGAGATCCGTACTGTCTCTAACAAGCCCGATATGAATTCTGGTCAGCCCGTCTAACAAGTTTCAGGTCGGCGACATAAAATGAAATCTTCCATTTATCGAGCGACTCAGGAAAAAAAGGAAACTCCTTCTTGCCGACAAGAGTTTCCTATTCCAAACAGGTCGAAGACCGACCTGATCGGCTATAAATGCAGGAAGTCCTTCGACTCCTCAATCCATCCGAAAATCACTCCTCGAGACCTAAGACAGATTAAGCAATCTAATTGTTCTTAGCTCTTGATTTATTTTCCTTAAAAGTCTAGGTCGGTGTTCTTATTCTGACGATCTAAAACTATCTTGTATCTCTCAAGCTCCGGCTCAATTCTAATAAAGATCTCTCTTTAAACCCACAAACTCTTGTTCAGTCTTCAGATCGAATTTGAGTTTTTACACCAATATTCCGTCATTCCGCCATTCTTCATAATTTATCCAATCGTGTAAAAAAAAAAAGTTCCGTAATTCCGCAATAAATTATTCCGCAATTCCAAGACATAAAAAATGTGTTACCAATGTGTTAACTAAATGCATATCATTCACAATATTAAGCACTGAATGATAAAAAGTAAAAATTAACATACTATTTTTTAATTCATCCCGTATGTTTTAAATTTATAACTAGTTTTGAGAAAAATATATTCATCTAATAGATAACTATTTAACGTTTTGAGTTTATTCAGTTTTCAATTTACCCATCCTATTGATTCTGCTAGTTTATTATTCTGTTATTTTGCTATTCAGCTATTAAATTGACATACCAGTCAAACCCTTAATTTTATTCATTCACAAGCATATGTGACTCCAGTGGTTTGTTTTATTTCAATCAAACGAATTTATCATTGGAAAGATAAGGAGTGATGAATGGTGGAAGAAAACGCTTAGGAAAAAGAAAAGAATTGTTTGACTGAAGTGAATCGTCATTTTGCAAAAGATTTTTTGTTTTCTCCTTTTTCAATTTTTTTACTGATGTGACAGAACATAAACTAAAAACAGAAAGAAAAAAAAAAAAAAACTGAGGTGTGGATGCTGACGTGTCACTTCCTTGTAAGACACCAGTCAGTTTTTATATTATATAATAGATAGATAGATAAATATGATTTTGTATCAGTCGTTTGCCATTTAGTGATAATACTTATATATTAATTAAACAGATCTAATTGATACATACATACATGTGCGACTTTTTCATTCTTTTATTAATGTGGGCACGGCCCTATCTCGAACTCTGTCCACCTAGAGTTACATTACTCTTCATTGATCCCTTTTTATAACCTAGAACCTCAAATGACATACTCAGAAAAACAATCAATAAAATCAAAGATCTTATTCTCAAAATAATCTAATGATAGATATCGAAGCAGTGGTTGAAGGACAGAAAGTCTTTATGAGTTTTGTTTATTGAGATCCTGTGATTGAGTACCGTGAACTAGTTTAGGGAAGGATTACACGGATTAGTATAACTTCAAAAATTAGATAATGGGAATTAATAAGATTCAAAGCGATTTTACACGGAATAACCAATGATAATTACTTATCTAAAATCAAAACCCTAAAATTCGACAAATATTTAGGTATTTTCAGCCTTGTAGAATGCGCTAACTCCTTTTTACAAGACAGATGATTTGTGCAACTGAATAATCAAGAACTTACAAAAGAAACAATCAAGCGAAGGTGTAAGAAACAATTGGAACAAAAGAGAAAATTGAAACGAATCGACAAGGATCTCATGGTGAGCTTAACAGAGAAATCCCGAGAGATCTCCGTTACAGAAGCCAAAAGCCAGAGAAGGAAGAAGATTGTTGGAATATTATTTATGTGTATGAGTCAAACGTATTCGTCGTGCGACTAATCGTAGTTTCAAGATTCTTTATCAGTTTGATTCCGTTATTTTTGCTTATTTTACTTTGAGTGAAATTGGTCTCAATTTCAGTTTGAGTTGCATCATTGACACTGAAATGAGACCGAAACATGAATTCAGTTTGGTTTGCCGTAACTTCTGTTTAGAAAATTTCTGGTTTTTTCTTTTAATGTGTGATTTTGGTTTTGTTCGGTTTATTTTGACGGACCGGAGCCATTATTATGAATTTATGATTTAACTCAAACTCAAACACAAACTTAACTTGGTTATGTTAAGTTGAAGAAATTCAAATGATACCATTCATTTGAAAAGAAAAGAGCAAATTATATGTTATTTTCTTTATAAAAAACAAAATTTGTTTATTTGATTTCAACTATCAAAATAATCACCATGATAGGGCGTATACATAGAGTTTATCAAAATCAAAACAAAAACAAAAGACATTTGTAAATCAAGACAATTAAGGACATTTTGGTCCACCTTCTTGGGTTTTCCAGTTGTTGTAATAAGGACATTCTTCTTTGTGACCATATGTTCCCGATGGTACACACAAACATTTATTGCAACATTGGTTGCAGTACATCAAACATGCACTCTTGTGAGATGTTGCTGAACATCGAACATTACATGCTGCTGGACACTCTTCACTCTCACAAATAGTTGAATGAATAATCTAAAAAGTTAATAGTTTGTTTCATATATATCCATTTAAGGAATAAGACATTTAAAAAACAAAAAAATATTACCTCCAGCTTTAAGTGAACCCTCTCTTCCTTGCTGCAAAATAAATTTATAATAATAAAATGATAAATACATTCCTCTTATTTTTACTATATTTATTTTTCAACTAATTTTCAAGGTTTTATGAATACCGTGTGGATTGGCTCCGAAGGATTTTGTAATTCCTTTGCCTGAGAAAAAGGTAAAACAAAAAAACAAACTACATGAATTAATCTGATCGATTCACAAATTAGTAGAATGGAATAAAGTTATTAGCAATTTTACATTAGAAAACTGAGTAGCAAACAAAAAGGCGACTACAATGAAGACAGCAATGAACTTAGCCATTTTATTTTTGTTGTTTCCTCTTTGTTTATTTTTTTGTTGATGTATTTGCATATCAATGTTAAGCTTGAATCTATTTATAGCTTTAATCATATCTTCTAATTGAATGTTTTCAGTCAAAATATCTGCTAAGTCAATAAAAAAAAAATTATTATGATGTTTGCTCACAACATTGTCAATACACATCTAGTTTGCATATTATAGAAGGTAATTAATGGCTAACAATTTTCAAGATGTATGGTCGATCACTTTCCCAAAATATACTCAGTCAAAAGTTAATAATCATTTGACCTAAACCTGAAATTTTGCAGAACAAATAATGATTGTTTAAGAGTTTAAAATTAGTTTCAAAAACATTTATACAGTAAAATCTTTATAAATTAATAATGTTAGGACTTCAAAAATTTATTAATTTGTAGAGTTATTAATTAAAATAATAATTATTAATTTATCCATAAATAAATATTTTATTAATTTATAGAGAGATATTTCAGTTTAAATTCAAAATATTTTTCAAAAAACAAAAAATAATGTTTTCAACAATGTAAAATTTATTCAGAAAATATCATATCAGTGAATTTAAAAAATATGTCAAACAATTTTTATAAACTTGAAACAATAATATAATTATATTTTACTATATTCTATTATTTATATATGCTTAAATGTATAATTATTAATTTATCTAATTATTGGAAATATACTTTTACATAGGATTTTCAAAAAAAATTATTATCTTTATCTTATCAAATTTTTCTAATTTTTACACTAGTCCAACTTGTGACTGGCAAAAATTATTAATTTATAGTGATTATTAACTTTTCGAGTATTAATTTATAGAGGTTCTACTGTATATCTTTTGTTTTCACTCTGAAGGAAGATGGGGACTATCATTTTCACCACTTGGATTTGATCATGTAGCTAGAGGCATGTCTGAGTGTTAATCATGGATGCAATATTTAGTTTCTATTCGTTGGTTTTAAATTCATACTACGTGTTTTCCCGCACCTTGTGCGGTGTTCAGTTAAAAAGTTTTAAAAGTATAACATTAGTTTATTTATAGATAAAAAAATTAGATCTTATCATGATTCGAAACGAAACTTAATATATTTGAAAAAGAACAATTTTCATGAGTATATTGTTTTTTTATGACAAAGCAAAATATATTATTTATATCTTATTTTTTAATATCTTATATATAATCCAATAAAAACTTATTTGTATGCTTTATTGTTTTGTTGCATTTATCGAACATGATAAATAATTTCTTCTTTTGATGTAAATTGGTAGATTAAGAATAATGAAATTCAAGGTTTGCATTAAAAAAAATAGCAATCCAAAATAGAGTATTAAAATGGTTTAAATGATTTAAGGTTTTACTTGGGGTCGCATAAATCAGTTAGGTTAGTCAAAATATTAGTAGATTAAACAATCAAATTAAAATTAGTTCAATGAAATAATTAGAATTTTTTATTTTATTTATGTTAGTTACTTTTTTTTAGTAAACTGAATATTTTTATTGTATAAACTCGAATTTGGAAATCTAGAATTAAAAAAAACAAAAATCAGTTAAAAATTAGATTATATTAATTTGTTAATTTCATTAAGGGTAATTAAAGTATGTGATCTTGACTGTTGCAACTAAATTATTAATTTATAGTGATTATTAATTTATCGAGTATTAATTTATTGAAGTTCTACTGTATATCTTTTGTTTTCACTCTGAAGGAAGATGGGGACTATCATTTTCACCACTTGGATTTGATCATGTAGCTAAAGGCACGTCTAAGTGTAATCATGGATACAATATTTAGTTTATTCGTCGGTTTTAAATTCATACTAGGTGTTTTTCCGCACCTTGTGCGGGGTTCAATTAAAAAATTTTAAAAGTATAACATTAGTTTATTTATAGATAAAAATATCAGATTTTATAATGATTCGAAACGAAACTTAATATATTTGAAAACATATAATTTTCATGTGTATATTGTTTTTTTGTCAAAGCAAAATATATTATTAATATCTTATTTTTTAATATCTTATATATTATCCGATAAAAACTTTTGTATGCTTTATTGTTTTGTTGCATTTATCAAAAATGATAAATAATTTCTTCTTTTGATGTAAACTGGTAGATTAAGAATAATGAAACTGGTAGGTTTTACTTGTGGTCGCATAAATCAATTAGGTTAGTCAAATATTAGTAGATTAAATAATTAAATTAAAATTAGTTCATTGAAATAATTAGGATTTTTTATTTTATTTATGTTAGTTACTTTTTTTAGTAAACTGATTATTTTTATGGTATAAACTCGAATTTGGAAATTTAGATTAAAAAAAAACAAAAATCAGTTAAATATTAGATTATATTAATTTGTTAATTTCATTAAGAGTAATTAAAGTATGTGATCTTGACTGTTGGTGGTTCACTCTCAACTCCTGCAGCTTCCATCAGTTGTGTAATAAGTCCAACACAATACAGCTTTGGCGCCTTGTCATCATTGGTTGTTAACCAATGTTTGATGACCAAAAGCTGCTGCATAAAAATGGTGACCATTCCAGTTGTACCATCAGCTCCCATTCTCCTCCTTCAACAACTCCACTTTCCTTCTTAGCAAAGAGTATATGCGCCATCGCCTTGTGCACATATCTGATTGTTCGATTTCTGATCAGAGAAGCCTTGCTTCTTTTTGGCTTGAAAGCGCCCTTGGCTACATTCTCCTAAAGGCTGCTCATCTCTTCTTTGCTAACCCCCAGATTCTTTCCTCTAGCGCTTCCACAAGAGAATCCAAAGGCATCTTCTATAGCTGAGAAAGACATCCTATAGTTCTTCTTGGAAACTCTGAAAGTGATGAAGTCATCACCATCTTCTTCAGGACTCTCCTCTCTCCTGGCTCATAGAATGCCACTTCAAAGCTTGCAAAGAATTGAAAGACTTGGTCTTTGTTGGCTGAATATGGAATTCTCACCAGCTTTGTGAGCTCCATTGTCTCAAGCATAGAAGAGCAGTCTTCATAGAGTCTCAAGGCCTTTAAAGATGGCACATGGGGGTATCTAGTTGGCCTCACATCCACCTTTTACAGCTTGTCATACAGCTGCCTTTGAGCTGGTATGATGCCTTTCTTCTTTTGAGGGACTTGCTCACTAGCGCCAACATCAACACTCTTCTTGCCTTGGGATTTGGCGCTTGGACTCCCAACTTCGTTGGCTTTTCCCTTGCCTTTCTTTTGCTTCTCAGCATCTTTGTTAGCTCCACTTCTTGTTGTTCTTCCCATGGTGCCTAAAACACATTCTCAAAAGAAAAATTAGAACCATGGAAGCAACAAAACACAATGCCTAATGTTGCTAAAAATCACAAGAGGAGGAGTTTATTTACTACAAATTTACTAAAATGCTAATGCAAAAATAAATAGGTGAATTTGACAAGCAAGTATTCATTAATTTAAATGCTTCAAAATTCAAAAACACTCTATTCACCATGAAAAAGAAATAAAATAAATAAAAAGCAATGAATCATTGAACTAGAAAATAATCACCAAACAAGAACAAGTTCTTAAGTGCGTAAAACAAAATTTGAAACATTTAAAAGCTAGGAGACAATACCTGAAGTGGTATGACTCTCTCAAGCAATTAGGAAACTAAAGTATTCGAATTTTAGTGGTTGAAAATTAGAAAAATGAAAGTGAGAAAGAGAGAAGGGTGGGTTAGTTTATATAGAGGGTTGGGAATCTTTTTGTGGGGAGCAAGGGGACAAAGAGTGCTTAAGAAAGGTCCCACTTGTGCTTGGGAAGGAGAAGGATTCAAATTTGAACTCCTTGATCTAGTTTGACCAAGGAGGGAAAATTTTGAATTGAAGAAAGCTTACCTCGTGCGCAATATCGACCACCCAAGTCGATATTGTGATCGATATTGATCATATCGACTTGGTCCGGTTGATATGCGGGCCGATATCTGTTGTCCGGGTCGTGATATCGACCTGTATGTATGTCGATACTGCTTGACATCTTTTGTATTGATGTCCCTTATGTCGATATGTAGTCTGATCATCATTCTTTGCTGTCCAACATCGAGCTAGTAGCTCGATATGTAGCTCGGTATGACTTGGAAAAAAATTCCATATCGGACTAACATGTCGATATGCACACCGATACACCTTGACATATTTTTAGCAGCATGTTTTCATTCGTCACTTATGGTGTATCGGCGATATGCCTTAATAAAGGGCGATTAATCGCCCTTCGTCCTTGCAATTAAGTCAAATCGGTGGGTTATGTCGATATTGTGCTAATTACGTACTACTTGATGTCATATCAACCTCGTACATCGATACATGTGATTGATATCAGTACCAATAGAGGCATATCGATCTGTTTGTACCCCGATACATTGCTTGTTAAAGCGTATCGGTTTGCCTTATACCAATACTATGATCGATACAAAAATCCTCATAGGTGTATCGATCAGGATCATCCTGATATGCATGTGTGGAGTCTTTAATAATATTTTGGTTTAATTTTTTTTAGCTACCATCTTTAAAATTATTAAAAATATAATATATTTATAAAAAAATTCATTTATATATGAGAATTTAATATATAATGTGTAATTTATCCTATTTTATTGATAAATTTTAAAAAACTATTAAGTAAAATAATAACAATAACACGTATCGAATTATCTAACTTAAACGTATATATACATTTGATTTAGAGAAATATAATCTTGCTAAGATTTTGGTATTATTTTCTGTTTTCCATAAAATTTCTATAGTTTTGAAGGTTTATGTGTTCAAATATTTAGTTTTTTTTTATTGAAAGTCTTATTGATGTTGTGTACTACTGCATATATAATCTATGATTCATGTTGATTCGTATTTAATTTTGTTAGGAAGCTGTAATGATCATGTAAAAGTATTTTTTCCTTCTCCATCATGACTTCTAAGAGTTTTATGTTATACTTTTATTCAGTTTTTATTGTTTTAATTGTTAAATCGAGTTGTTGTAGATATTTTTAAATTGATAATTGATAATGGTTATTTTTTTATACATGTATTATTAATTGTTAATTTTTTATTTAACTTTTAAAACTTTAAACCATATTAATATTTTCTGATTTAATAAATATGTTGATTTGGATCAATCAGATTGAATTTACTTTTTTTTGTTGGACATAATTTGTTAAATTAACATTTAATGTTTGAATTATACTTAACAATTTTTGGTTTGATTAAAAAGCAGATGTGACCAATTAAATCAAGTTTTTCCGTCATAATCATACTTAACATCTTTTCATTTAATGAATATGCTGATGTGGACCTGTCATATCGAGTTTTTAAATCATATGTGGACGCCCTCAATGCACTATGCCGTGAACTAGTTTGGGAAAGGATTACACGGATCAGTATAACTTCAAAAATCAGATAATGGGAATTAATAAGATTCAAAGCGATTTTACACGGAGTAACCAACGATAATTACTTATCTAAAATCAAAACCCTAAAATTCGACAATTGTTTAGGTATTTTCAGCCTTGTAGAACACGCTAACTCCTTTTTACAAGACAGATGATTTGTGTAACTGAATAATCAAGAACTTACAAAAGAAACAATCAATCGAAAGGGTAAGAAACAATTGGAACAAAAGAGAAAATTGAAACGAATCGACAAGGATCTCATGGTGAGCTTAGCAGAGAAATCCGGAGAGATCTCCGTTGCAGAAGCCAAAAGCCAGAGAAGGAAGATGATTGTTGGAATATTATTTATTTGTATGTGTCAAACGTATCCATCGTGCGAATCGTAGTTTCTGGATTCTTTATCGGTTTGGTTCGGTTATTTTTGCTTATTTTACTTTGAGTGACATTGGTCTCAATTTCAGTTTGAGTTGCATCATTGACACTGAAATGAGACCGAAACATGAATTCAGTTTGGTTTGCCGTAACTTCTGTTTAGGGAATTGGTCTTAATTTCAGTTTGAGTTGCATCATTGACACTGAAATGAGACCGAAACATGAATTCAGTTTGGTTTGCCGTAACTTCTGTTTAGGGAATTTCTGGTTCTTTCTTTTAATGTGTGATTTTGGTTTTGTTCGGTTTATTTTGATGGACTGGAGCCATTATTATGAATTTATGATTTAACTCAAACTCAAACACAAACTTAACTTGGTTATGTTAAGTTGAAGAAATTCAAACGTTACATTTCGTTTGAAAAGAAAAGAACAAATTATATGTTATTTTCTTTATAAAAAAAAACTTGTTTATTTGATTTCAACTATCAAAATAATCACCATGATAGGGCGTATACATAGATTTTATCAAAATCAAAACAAAAACAAAAGACATTTGTAAATCAAGACAATTAAGGACATTTTGGTCCACCTTCTTGGGTTTTCCAGTTGTTGTAACAAGGACATTCTTCTTTGTGATCATATGTTCCCGATGGTACACATAAACATTTATTGCAACATTGGTTGCAGTACATCAAACATGCACTCTTGTGAGATGTTGCTGAACATCGAACATTACATGCTGCTGGACACTCTTCACTCCCACAAATAGTTGAATGAATAATGTAAAAAGTTAATAGTTTGTTCCATATATATCCATTTAAGGAATAAGACATTTAAAAAACAAAAAATATTACCTCCAGCTTTAAGTGAACCCTCTCTTCCTTGCTACAAAATAAATTTGTAATAATAAAATGATAAATACATTCCTCTTATTTCTACTATATTTATTTTTTAACTAATTTTTAAAGTTTTATGAATACCGTGTGGATTGGCTCCGAAGGATTTTGTAATTCATTTGCCTGAGAAAAAGGTAAAATAAAAAAACAAACTACATGAATTAATCTGATCGATTCACAAATTAGTAGAATGGAATAAAGTTAATAGCAATTTTAGATTAGAAAACTGAGTAGCAAACAAAAAGGCGACTACAATGAAGACAGCAATGAACTTAGCCATTCTATTTTTGTTGTTTCCTCTTTGTTTATTTTTTTTGTTGATGTATTTGCATATCAATGTTGAGCTTGAATCTATTTATAGCTTTAATCATATCTTCTAACTGAATGTTTTCAGTCAAAATATCTGCTCAGTCAATAAAAAAAAATTATTATGATGTTTGCTCACAACATTATCAATATACATCTAGTTTGCATATTATAAAAGGTAATTAATGGCTAACCATTTTCAAGATGTATGGTCGATCACTTTCCCAAAATATACTCAGTCAAAAGTTACTAATCATTTGACCTAAACCTGAAATTTTGCAGGACAAATAATGATTGTTTAAGAGTTCAAAATTAGTTTCAAAAACGTTTATACAGTAAAATCTTTATAAATTAATAATGTTAGGACTTCAAAAATTTATTAATTTGTAGAGTTATTAATTAAATAATAATTATTAATTTATCCATAGATAAATATATTTTTAATTTATAGAGAGATATTTCAGTTTAAATTCAAAATATTTTTCAAAAAACAAAAAAAAAATGTTTTCAACAATGTAAAATTTATTCAGAAAATATCATATCAGTGAATTTAAAAAATAAGTCAAACAATTTTTATAAACTTGAAACAATAATATAATTATATTTTACTATATTCTATTATTTATATATGCTTCAATGTATAATTATTAATTTATCTAATTATTGGGACTATACTTTTACATAGGATTTTCAAAAAAAAATTATTATCTTTATCTTATCAAATTTTTCAAATTTGTACACTAGTCCAACTTGTGACTGGCAAAAATTATTAATTTATAGTGATTATTAACTTTTCGAGTATTAATTTATAGAGGTTCTACTGTATATCTTTTGTTTTCACTCTGAAGGAAGATGGGGACTATCATTTTCACCACTTGGATTTGATCATGTAGCTAGAGGCATGTCTGAGTGTTAATCATGGATGCAATATTTAGTTTCTATTCGTTGATTTTAAATTCATACTACGTGTTTTCCCGCACCTTGTGCGGTGTTCAGTTAAAAAGTTTTAAAAGTATAACATTAGTTTATTTATAGATAAAAAAATTAGATCTTATCATGATTCGAAACGAAACTTAATATATTTGAAAAAGAACAATTTTCATGAGTATATTGTTTTTTTATGACAAAGCAAAATATATTATTTATATCTTATTTTTTAATATCTTATATATAATCCAATAAAAACTTATTTGTATGCTTTATTGTTTTGTTGCATTTATCGAACATGATAAATAATTTCTTCTTTTGATGTAAATTGGTAGATTAAGAATAATGAAATTCAAGGTTTGCATTAAAAAAAATAGCAATCCAAAATAGAGTATTAAAATGGTTTAAATGATTTAAGGTTTTACTTGGGGTCGCATAAATCAGTTAGGTTAGTCAAAATATTAGTAGATTAAACAATCAAATTAAAATTAGTTCAATGAAATAATTAGAATTTTTTATTTTATTTATGTTAGTTACTTTTTTTTAGTAAACTGAATATTTTTATTGTATAAACTCGAATTTGGAAATCTAGAATTAAAAAAAACAAAAATCAGTTAAAAATTAGATTATATTAATTTGTTAATTTCATTAAAGGTAATTAAAGTATGTGATCTTGACTGTTGCAACTAAATTATTAATTTATAGTGATTATTAATTTATCGAGTATTAATTTATTGAAGTTCTACTGTATATCTTTTGTTTTCACTCTGAAGGAAGATGGGGACTATCATTTTCACCACTTGGATTTGATCATGTAGCTAAAGGCACGTCTAAGTGTAATCATGGATACAATATTTAGTTTATTCGTCGGTTTTAAATTCATACTAGGTGTTTTCCCGCATCTTGTGCGGGGTTTCAATTAAAAATTTTTAAAAGTATAACATTAATTTATTTATAGATAAAAATATCAGATTTTATAATGATTCGAAACGAAACTTAATATATTTGAAAGCATATAATTTACATGAGTATATTGTTTTTTGTGACAAAGCAAAATATATTATTAATATCTTATTTTTAATATCTTTTATATTATCCGATAAAAACTTATTTGTATGCTTTATTGTTTTGTTGCATTTATCAAAAATGATAAATAATTTCTTCTTTTGATGTAAACTGGTAGATTAAGAATAATGAAATTCAATGTTTGCATTAAAAAAAAATAGCAATCCAAAATGGAGTTTTAAAAGGGTTTAAATGATTTAAGGTTTTACTTGTGGTCGCATAAATCAATTAGGTTAGTCAAAATATTAGTAGATTAAACAATCAAATTAAAATTAGTTCATTGAAATAATTAGGATTTTTTATTTTATTTATGTTAGTTACTTTTTTTAGTAAACTGATTATTTTTATGGTATAAACTCGAATTTGGAAATCTAGATTTAAAAAAAAAACGAAAATCAGTTAAATATTAGATTATATTAATTTATTAATTTCATTAAGGGTAATTAAAGTATGTGATCTTGACTGTTGGTGGTTCACTCTCAACTCCTGCAGCTTCCATCAGTTGTGTAATAAGTCTAACACAATACAGCTATGGCGCCTTGTCATCATTGGTTGTTAACCAATGTTTGATGACCAAAAGCTGCTGCATAAAAATGGTGACCATTCCAGTTGTACCATCAGCTCCCATTCTCCTCCTTCAACAACTCCACTTTCCTTCTTAGCAAAGAGTATATGCGCCATCGCCTTGTGCACATATCTGATTGTTCGATTTCTGATCAGAGAAGCCTTGCTTCTTTCTGGCTTGAAAGCGCCCTTGGCTACATTCTCCCAAAAGCTGCTCATCTCTTCTTTGCTAACCCCCAGATTCTTTCCTCTAGCGCTTCCATAAGAGAATCCAAAGGCATCTTCTATAGCTGAGAAAGACATCCTATAGTTCTTCTTGGAAACTCTGAAAGTGATGAAGCCATCCCCATCTTCTTCAGGACTCTCCTCTCTCCTGGCTCATAGAATGCCACTTCAAAGCTTGCAAAGAATTGAAAGACTTGGTCTTTGTTGGCTGAATATGGAGTTCTCACCAGCTTTGTGAGCTCCATTGTCTCAAGCATAGAAGAGCAGTCTTCATAGAGTCCCAAGGCTTTTAAAGATGGCACATGGGGGTATCTAGTTGGCCTCACATCCACCTTTTACAGCTTGTCATACAGCTGCCTTTGAGCTGGTATGATGCCTTTCTTCTTTTGAGGGACTTGCTCACTAGCGCCAACATCAACACTCTTCTTGCCTTGGGATTTGGCGCTTGGACTCCCAACTTCGTTGGCTTTTACCTTGCCTTTCTTTTGCTTCTCAGCATCTTTGTTAGCTCCACTTCTTGTTGTTCTTCCCATGGTGCTAAAACACATTCTCAAAAGAAAAATTAGAACCATGGAAGCAACAAAACACAATGCCTAATGTTGCTAAAAATCACAAGAGGAGGAGTTTATTTACTACAAATGTACTAAAATGCTAATGCAAAGATAAATAGATGAATTTGACAGGCAAGTATTCATTAATTTAAATGCTTCAAAATTCAAAAACAGTCTATTCACCATGAAAAAAGAAATAAAATAAATAAAAGGCAATGAATCATTGAACTAGAAAGCAATCACCAAACAAGAACAAGTTCTTAAGTGCGTAAAACAAAATTTGAAACATTTAAAAGCTAGGAGACAATACCTGAACTGGTATGACTCTCTCAAGCACTTAGGAAACTAAAGTATTCGAATTTTAGTGGTTGAAAACTAGAAAAATGAAAGTGAGAAAGAGAGAAGGGTGGGTTAGTTTATATTGAGGGTTGGGAATCTTTTTGTGGGGAGCAAGGGGACAAAGAGTGCTTAAGAAAGGTCCCACTAGTGCTTGGGAAGGAGAAGGATTCAAATTTGAACTCCTTGATCAAGTTTGACCAAGGAGGAAAAATTTTGAATTGAAGAAAGCTTACCTCGTGCGCAATATCGACCACCCAAGTCGATATTGTGATCGATATTGATCATATCGACTTGGTCCGGTTGATATGCGGGCCGATATCGGTTGTTCGGGTCGTGATATCGACATGTATGCATGTCGATACTGCTTGACATCTTTTGTATTGATATCCCTTATGTCGATATGTAGTCTGATCATCAATCTTTGCTGTCCAACATCGAGCTAGTAGCTCGATATATAGCTCGGTATGACGAGGAAAAAAAATTTCATATCAGACTAACATGTCGATATGCACATCGATACACCTTGACATATTTTTAGCAGCATGTTTTCATTCGTCACTTATGGTGTATCGGCGATATGCCTTAATAAAAGGCGATTAATCGCCCTTCGTCCTTGCAATTAAGTCAAATCGGTGGGTTATGTCGATATTGTGCTAGATACGTACTACTAGATGTCATATCGACCTCGTACATCGATACATGTGATTGATATCAGTACTAGTAGAGGCATATCTATCTGTTTGTACCCCGATACATTGCATGTTAAAGCGTATCGGTTTGCCTTATACCAATACTATGATCGATACAAAATTCCTCATAGGTGTATCGATCAGGATCATCCTGATATGCATGTGTGGAGTCTTTAATAATATTTTGGTTTAATTTTTTTTAGCTATTATCTTTAAAATTATTAAAAATATAATATATTTATAAAAAAATTCATTTATATAAGAAAATTTAATATAAAATATGTAATTTATCCTATTTTATTTATAAATTTTAAAAAACTATTAAGTAAAATAATAACAATGACACGTATCGAATTATCTAACTTTAATGTATATATACATTTGATTTAGAGAAATATAATCTTGCTAAGATTTTGGTATTATTTTCTGTTTTCCATAAAATTTCTATAGTTTATTTTTTGAAGGTTTATGTGTTCAAATATTTAGTTTTTTTGTTTATTGAAAGTCTTATTGATGTTGTGTACCACTGCATATATAATCCATGATTCATGTTGATTTGCATTTAATTTTGTTAGGAAGCTGTAATGATCATGCAAAACCATTTTTTCCTTCTCCATCATGACTTCTAAGAGTTTTATGTTATACTTTAATTCAGTTTTTATTGTTTTAATTCTTAAATCAAGTTGTTGTAGATTTTTTAAAATTGATAATTGACAATGGTTATTTGTTTTTATACATGTATTATTAATTGTTAATTTTTTATTTAACTTTTAAAACTTTAAACCATATTAATATTTTCTGATTTTATAAATATGTTGATTTGGATCAATCAAATTGAATTTACTTTTTTTTGTTGGACATAATTTGTTAAATTAACTTTTAATGTTTGAATTATACTTAACAATTTTTGGTTTGATTAAAAAGCAGATGTGGACCAATTAAATCAAGTTTTTCCGTCATAATCATACTTAACATCTTTTCATTTAATGAATATGCTGATGTGGACCTGTCATATCGAGTTTTGTAATCATATAAGGACGCCCTCAATGCACTATGCTGTGAACTAGTTTGGGAAAGGATTACACGGATCAGTATAACTTCAAAAATCAGATAATGGAAATTAATAAGATTCAAAGCGATTTTACACGGAGTAACCAACTATAATTACTTATCTAAAATCAAAACCCTAAAATTCGACAATTTTTTAGGTATTTTCAGCCTTGTAGAACACGCTAACTCCTTTTTACAAGACAGATGATTTGTGCAACTGAATAATCAAGAACTTACGAAAGAAACAATCAATCGAAGGTGTAAGAAACAATTGGAACAAAAGAGAAAATTGAAACGAATCGACAAGGATCTCATGGTGAGCTTAGCAGAGAAATCCGGAGAGATCTCCGTTGCAGAAGCCAAAAGCCAGAGAAGGAAGAAGATTGTTGGAATATTATTTATTTGTATGTGTCAAACGTATCCGTCGTGCGAATCATAGTTTCTGGATTCTTTATCGGTTTGGTTCGGTTATTTTTGTTATTTTACTTTGAGAGAAATTGGTCTCAATTTCAGTTTGAGTTGCATCATTGACACTGAAATGAGACCGAAACATGAATTCAGTATGGTTTGCCGTAACTTCTGTTTAGGGAATTGGTCTTAATTTCAGTTTGTGTTGCATCATTGACACTGAAATGAGACCGAAACATGAATTCAGTTTGGTTTGCCGTAACTTCTGTTTAAGAAATTTCTGGTTCTTTCTTTTAATGTGTGATTTTGGTTTTGTTCGGTTTATTTTGACGGACTGGAGCCATTATTATGAATTTATGATTTAACTCAAACTCAAACACAAACTTAACTTGGTTATGTTAAGTTGAAGAAATTCAAACGTTATATTTCGTTTGAAAAGAAAAGAACAAATTATATGTTATTTTCTTTATAAAAAAAAACTTGTTTATTTGATTTCAACTATCAAAATAATCACCATGATAGGGCGTATACATAGAGTTTATCAAAATCAAAACAAAAACAAAAGACATTTGTAAATCAAGACAATTAAGGACATTTTGGTCCACCTTCTTGGGTTTTCCAGTTGTTGTAACAAGGACATTCTTCTTTGTGACTATATGTTCCCGATGGTACACACAAACATTTATTGCAACATTGGTTGCAGTACATCAAACATGCACTCTTGTGAGATGTTGCTGAACATCGAACATTACATGCTGCTGGACACTCTTCACTCCCACAAATAGTTGAATGAATAATCTAAAAAGTTAATAGTTTGTTCCATATATATCCATTTAAGGAATAAGACATTTAAAAAACAAAAAATATTACCTCCAGCTTTAAGTGAACCCTCTCTTCCTTGCTGCAAAATAAATTTGTAATAATAAAATGATAAATACATTCCTCTTATTTCTACTATATTTATTTTTCAACTAATTTTCAAAGTTTTATGAATACCGTGTGGATTGGCTCCGAAGGATTTTGTAATTCCTTTGCCTGAGAAAAAGGTAAAATAAAAAAACAAACTACATGATTTAATCTGATCGATTCACAAATTAGTAGAATGGAATAAAGTTACTAGCAATTTTACATTAGAAAACTGAGTAGCAAACAAAAAGGCGACTACAATGAAGACAGCAATAAACTTAGCCATTCTATTTTTGTTGTTTCCTCTTTGTTTATTTTTTTTGTTGATGTATTTGCATATCAATGTTGAGGTTGAATCTATTTATAGCTTTAATCATATCTTCTAATTGAATGTTTTCAGTCAAAATATCTGCTAAGTCAATAAAAAAAAATTATTATGATGTTTGCTCACAACATTGTCAATATACATCTAGTTTGCATATTATAGAAGGTAATTAATGGCTAACAATTTTCAAGATGTATGGTCGATCACTTTCCCAAAATATACTCAGTCAAAAGTTACTAATCATTTGACCTAAACCTGAAATTTTGCAGGACAAATAATGATTGTTTAAGAGTTCAAAATTAATTTCAAAAACGTTTATACAGTAAAATCTTTATAAATTAATAATGTCAGGACTTCAAAAATTTATTAATTTGTAGAGTTATTAATTAAATTAATAATTATTAATTTATCCATAAATAAATATTTTAATAATTTATAGAGAGATATTTCAGTTTAAATTCAAAATATTTTTCAAAAAAACAAAAAAAAATGTTTTCAACAATGTAAAATTTATTCAGAAAATATCATATCAGTGAATTTAAAAAATAAGTCAAACAATTTTTATAAACTTGAAACAATAATATAATTATATTTTACTATATTCTATTATTTATATATGCTTAAATATATAATTATTAATTTATCTAATTATTGGGACTATACTTTTACATAGGATTTTCAAAAAAAATTATTATCTTTATCTTATCAAATTTTTCTAATTTTTACACTAGTCCAACTTGTGACCGGTAAAAATTATTAATTTATAGTGATTATTAACTTATCGAGTATTAATTTATAGAGGTTCTACTGTATATCTTTTGTTTTCACTCTGAAGGAAGATGGGGACTATCATTTTCACCACTTGGATTTGATCATGTAGCTAAAGGCACGTGTGAGTGTTAATCATGGATGCAATATTTAGTTTCTATTCGTCGGTTTTAAATTCATACTAGGTGTTTTCCCGCACCTTGTGCGGTGTTTAATTAAAAAGTATTAAAAGTATAACATTAGTTTATTTATAGATAAAAAAATTAGATTTTATAATGCTTCGAAACGAAACTTAATATATTTGAAAAAGAACAATTTTCATGAGTATATTGTTTTTTTGTGACAAAGCAAAATATATTATTTATATCTTATTTTTTCATATCTTATATATTATTCGATAAAAACTTATTTGTATGCTTTATTTTTTTGTTGCATTTATCGAACATGATAAATAATTTCTTCTTTTGATGTAAATTGGTAGATTAAGAATAATGAAATTCAAAGTTTGCATTAAAAAAAATAGCAATCCAAAATAGAGTTTTAAAAGGGTTTAAATGATTTAAGGTTTTACTTGTGGTCGCATAAATCAGTTAGGTTAGTCAAAATATTAGTAGATTAAACAATCAAATTAAAATTAGTTCAATGAAATAATTAGGATTTTTTATTTTATTTATGTTAGTTACTTTTTTTTAGTAAATTGAATATTTTTATTGTATAAACTCGAATTTGGAAATCTAGAATTAAAAAAAAACGAAAATCAGTTAAAAATTAGATTATATTAATTTGTTAATTTCATTAAGGGTAATTAAAGTATGTGATCTTAACTGTTGCAACTAAATTATTAATTTATAGTGATTATTAATTTATCGAGTATTAATTTATAGAAGTTCTACTGTATATCTTTTGTTTTCACTCTGAAGGAAGATGGGGACTATCATTTTCACCACTTGGATTTGATCATGTAGCTAAAGGCACGTCTAAGTGTAATCATGGATACAATATTTAGTTTATTCGTTGGTTTTAAATTCATACTAGGTGTTTTCCCGCACCTTGTGCGGGGTTCAATTAAAAATTTTTAAAAGTATAACATTAGTTTATTTATAGATAAAAATATCAGATTTTATAATGATTCGAAAAGAAACTTAATATATTTGAAAACATATAATTTTTATGAGTATATTGTTTTTGTGACAAAGCAAAATATATTATTAATATCTTATTTTTTAATATCTTATATATTATCCGATAAAAACTTATTTGTATGCTTTATTGTTTTGTTGCATTTATCAAAAATGATAAATAATTTCTTCTTTTGATGTAAACTGGTAGATTAAGAATAATGAAATTCAATGTTTGCATTAAAAAAAATAGCAATCCAAAATGGAGTTTTAAAAGGGTTTAAATGATTTAAGGTTTTACTTGTGGTCGCATAAATCAATTAGGTTAGTCAAAATATTAGTAGATTAAACAATCAAATTAAAATTAGTTCATTGAAATAATTAGGATCTTTTATTTTATTTATGTTAGTTACTTTTTTTAGTAAACTGATTATTTTTATGGTATGAACTCGAATTTGGAAATCTAGATTTAAAAAAAAACGAAAATTAGTTAAATATTAGATTATATTAATTTGTTAATTTTATTAAGGATAATTAAAGTATGTGATCTTGACTGTTGGTGGTTCACTCTCAACTCCTGCAGCTTCTATCAGTTGTGTAATTAGTCCAACACAATACAACTTTGGCGCCTTGTCATCATTGGTTGTTAACCAATGTTTGATGACCAAAAGCTGCTGCATAAAAATGGTGACCATTCCAGTTGTACCATCAGCTCCCATTCTCCTCCTTCAACAACTCCACTTTCCTTCTTAGCAAAGAGTATATGCGCCATCGCCTTGTGCACATATCTGATTGTTCGATTTCTGATCAGAGAAGCCTTGCTTCTTTCTGGCTTGAAAGCGCCCTTGGCTACATTCTCCCAAAGGCTGCTCATCTCTTCTTTGCTAACCCCCAGATTCTTTCCTCTAACGCTTCCATAAGAGAATCCAAAGGCATCTTCTATAGCTGAGAAAGACATCCTATAGTTCTTCTTGGAAACTCTGAAAGTGATGAAGCCATCACCATCTTCTTCAGGACTCTCCTCTCTCCTGGCTCATAGAATGCCACTTCAAAGCTTGCAAAGAATTGAAAGACTTGGTCTTTGTTGGCTGAATATGGAGTTCTCGCCAGCTTTGTGAGCTCCATTGTCTCAAGCATAGAAGAGTAGTCTTCATAGAGTCCCAAGGCCTTTAGAGATGGCACATATGGGTATCTAGTTGGCCTCACATCCACCTTTTACAGCTTTTCATACAGCTGCCTTTGAGCTGGTATGATGCCTTTCTTCTTTTGAGGGACTTGCTCACTAGCGCCAACATCAACACTCTTTTTGCTTTGGGATTTGGCGCTTGGACTCCCAACTTCGTTGGCTTTTCCCTTGCCTTTCTTTTGCTTCTCAGCATCTTTGTTAGCTCCACTTCTTGTTGTTCTTCCCATGGTGCCTAAAACATATTCTCAAAAGAAAAATTAGAACCATGGAAGCAACAAAACACAATGCCTAATGTTGCTAAAAATCACAAGAGGAGGAGTTTATTTACTAAAAAGTAAACTTCTAACAGTTGTGAAGCAACTAAATAGGCGATGCATGCAAATGATTCATTAAACAAATTTTATCAAGTAATCAAAAATGATGAATCCTAGCATGGTGAAACTAAACAAATGTACTAAAATGCTAATGCAAAGATAAATAGATGAATTTGACAAGCAAGTATTCATTAATTTAAATGCTTCAAAATTCAAAAACAGTCTATTCACCATGCAAAAGAAATAAAATAAATAAAAGGCAATGAATCATTGAATTAGAAAGCAATCACCAAACAAGAACAAGTTCTTAAGTGCGTAAAACAAAATTTGAAACATTTAAAAGCTAGGAGACAATACCTGAAGTGGTATGACTCTCTCAAGCACTTAGGAAACTAAAGTATTCGAATATTAGTGGTTGAAAACTAGAAAAATGAAAGTGAGAAAGAGAGAAGGGTGGGTTAGTTTATATAGAGGGTTGGGAATCTTTTTGTGGGGAGCAAGGGGACAAAGAGTGCTTAAGAAAGGTCCCATTTGTGCTTTGGAAAGAGAATGATTCAAATTTGAGCTCCTTGATCTAGTTTGACCAAGGAGGGAAAATTTTGAATTGAAGAAAGCTTACCTCGTGCGCAATATCGACCACCTAAGTCGATATTGTGATTGATATTGATCATATCGACTTGGTCCGATCGATATGCGGGCCGATATCGGTTGTACGGATCGTGACATCGACCTGTATGCATGTCGATATTGCTTGACATCTTTTGTATTGATGTCCCTTATGTCGATATGTAGTCTGATCATCTTTCTTTGCTGTCCCTCGGTATGACTTGGAAAAAAATTCCATATCGGACTAGCATGTCGATATGCATATCGATACACCTTGACATATTTTTAGCAGCATGTTTTCATTCGTCACTTAAGGTGTATCAGCGATATGCCTTAATAAAGGGCGATTAATCGCCCTTCGTCCTTGCAATTAAGTCAAATCGGTGGGTTATGTCGATATTGTGCTAGATACGTACTACTTGATGTCATATCGACCTCGTACATCGATACATGTGATTGATATCAGTACCAGTAGAGGCATATCGATCTGTTTGTACCCCGATACATTGCTTGTTAAAGCGTATCGGTTTGCCTTATACCAATACTATGATTGATACAAAAATCCTCACAGGTGTATCGATCATGATCATCCCAATATGCATGTGTGGAGTCTTTAATAATATTTTGGTTTAATTTTTTTTAGCTACTATTTTAAAATTATTACAAATATAATATATTTATAAAAAATTTCATTTATATAAGAGAATTTAATATATATTGTGTAATTTATCCTATTTTATATATAAATTTTAAAAAACTATTAAGTAAAATAATAATTATGACATGTATCGAATTATCCAACTTTAACGTACATATACATTTGATTTAGAGAAATATAATCTTGCTAAGATTTTGGTATTATTTTCTGTTTTCCATAAAATTTCTATAGTTTTTTTTTAAGGTCTATGTGTTCAAATATATAGTTTTTTTTTATTGAAAGTCTTATTGATGGTGTGTACCAATGTATATATATCCATGATTCATGTTGATTTGCATTTAATTTTGTTAGAAAGCTGTAATGATCATGCAAAACCATTTTTTCCTTCTCCATCATGTCTTCTAAGAGTTTTATGTTATACTTTTATTCAGTTTTTATTGTTTTAATTGTTAAATCGAGTTGTTGTAGATTTTTTTAAATTGATATTTGATAATGGTTATGTTTTTTTATACATGTATTATTAATTGTTATTTTTTTATTTAACTTTTAAAACTTTAAACCATATTAATATTTTCTGATTTTATAAATATGTTGATTTGGATCAATCAGATTGAATTTACTTTTTTTTGTTGGACATAATTTGTTAAATTAACTTTTACTGTTTGAATTATACTTAACAATTTTTGGTTTGATTAAAAAGCAGATGTGGACCAATTAAATCAAGTTTTCCGTCATAATCATACTTAACATCTTTTCATTTAATGAATATGCTGATGTAGACCTGTCATATCGAGTTTTTTAATCATATGTGGACGCCCTCAATGCACAATGCTGTGAACTAGTTTGGGAAAGGATTACACGGATCAGTATAACTACAAAAATCAAATAATGGGAATTAATAACATTCAAAGCGATTTTAGACGGAGTAACCAACGATAATTACTTATCAAAAATCAAAACCCTAAAATGCAAAAAATGTTTAGGTATTTTCAGCCTTGTAGAACACGCTAACTCCTTTTTACAAGACAGATGATTTGTGCAACTGAATAATCAAGAACTTACGAAAGAAACAATCAATCGAAGGTGTAAGAAACAATTGGAACAAAAGAGAAAACTGAAACGAATCGACAAGGATCTCATGGTGAGCTTAGCAGAGAAATCCGGAGAGATCTCCGTTGCAGAAGCCAAAAGCCAGAGAAGGAAGAAGATTGTTGGAATATTATTTATTTGTATGTGTCAGACGTATTCGTCGTGCGACTAATCGTAGTTTCTGGATTCTTTATCGGTTTGGTTCTGTTATTTTTGCTTATTTTACTTTGGTGAAATTGATCTCAATTTCAGTTTGAGTTGCATCATTGACACTGAAATGAGACCGAAACATGAATTCAGTTTGGTTTGCCATAACTTCTGTTTAGGGAATTTCTGGAATGTGTGATTTTGGTTTTGTTCGGTTTATTTTGACGGACCGGAGCCATTATTATGAATATATGATTTAACTCAAACTCAAACACAAACTTAACTTGGTTATGTTAAGTTGAAGAAATCCAAACGTTACAATTCGTTTGAAAAGAAAAGAGCAAATTATATGTTATTTTCTTTATAAAAAAAAACTTGTTTATTTGATTTCAACTATCAAAATAATCATCATGATAGGGCGTATACATAGAGTTTATCAAAATCAAAACAAAAACAAAAGACATTTGTAAATCAAGACAATTAAGGACATTTTGGTCCACCTTCTTGGGTTTTCCAGTTGTTGTAACAAGGACATTCTTCTTTGTGACCATATGTTCCCGATGGTACACACAAACATTTATTGCAACATTGGTTGCAGTACATCAAACATGCACTCTTGTGAGATGTTGCTGAACATCGAACATTACATGCTGCTGGACACTCTTCACTCCCACAAATAGTTGAATGAATAATCTAAAAAGTTAATAGTTTGTTCCATATATATCCATTTAAGGAATAAGACATTTAAAAAACAAAAATATTACCTCCAGCTTTAAGTGAACCCTCTCTTCCTTGCTGCAAAATAAATTTGTAATAATAAAATAATAAATATATTCCTCTTATTTCTACTATATTTATTTTTCAACTAAATTTCAAAGTCTTATGAATACCGTGTGGATTGACTCCGAAGGATTTTGTAATTCATTTGCCTGAGAAAAAGGTAAAACAAAAAAAACAAACTACATGAATTAATCTGATCGATTCACAAATTAGTAGAATGGAATAAAATTACTAGCAATTTTACATTAGAAAACTGAGTAGCAAACAAAAAGGCGACTACAATGAAGACAGCAATGAACTTAGCCATTCTATTTTTGTTGTTTCCTCTTTGTTTATTTTTTTTGTTGATGTATTTGCATATCAATGTTGAGGTTGAATCTATTTATAGCTTTAATCATATCTTCTAATTGAATGTTTTCAGTCAAAATATCTGCTAAGTCGATAAAAAAAATTATTATGATGTTTGCTCACAACATTGTCAATACACATCTAGTTTGCATATTATAGAAGGTAACTAAATGTGTATTAATGGCTAAGAATTTTCAAGATGTATGGTTGATCACTTACCCAAAATATACTCAGTCAAAAGTTACTAATCATTTGACCTAAACCTGAAATTTTGCAGAACAAATAATGATTGTTTAAAAGTTCAAAATTAGTTTCAAAAACGTTTATACAATAAAATCTCTATAAATTAATAATGTTAGGACTTCAAAAATTTATTAATTTATAGAATTACTAATTAATCGATAAATTAATAATTTATCGAGAAATAAATATTTTATTAATTTATAGAGAGATATTTCAGTTTAAATTCAAAATATTTTTCAAAAAACAAAAAAAAAATATTTTCAACAATGTAGTACTTATTCAGAAAATATCATATCAGTGAATTTAAAAAATAAGTCAAACAGTTTTTTTTTTGTCTAAAAAGTATTTTATTAATAACTATGGTTACAATCATTGTTTACAAAAGAATGAAGAAATGTCGGGCAAGACTGATATAAACACCATGAATTTGGTGAGCTTGCACCCGTTTTGGCTAAGACGTCCGCACATTGGTTGGCTTTCCTATTTTTGTAAGTGAATTTGGTGTTGGAGAACATAGACGCCCACCCTTTAATATTATTAAGATAGTGGCGTAGCTTGAGGTTACTCCCTTCATTGTTGAGTAGACGAGTGATATTTATGTTGTCTCCTTCAAAGACGACGTGGGTGAAACCAAAACTCCAAGCAGCTTGCATTGCCCATATTAAAGCTGTAAGTTCGGCCTCTTCAATCGTAAAATATCTTTAGTATTGTCCCATTCCTCATTGGAGAAAAGTGCTTGTAGAATTGCGAAAAATCCAGCCAAGACCTGATTTGCTAGCCTCGGCGTAGAAGGATGCATCGTAATTACATTTTATCCAACCTGGTGAAGGTCATTGCCAGTGATGATGTATAGAAAAGTTGTAGTGATTGTCATTGGGTAGATTAACATCCAACGTATTAGCAGATTTCCATTCTGTGGTAGCTACGTCAGAACGGAAGAATGTTTCTTATGGTTGAATTTATCGTTTGTTAAACATTAATTCATTTCGGCTCTTCCATAAATGCCACATTATCCAGAATGGCAGTAGACGGTGATGTTTACTGATATTAGTATTTGAATACAGTCCAAAGAGAAACTTGAGTTTTTCGTCTATGGATATTCTTGTACCCGTAATAACTTGTAAAGGAATGCCAGTGAGTCGCCATATCATATTAGCGTATGGACAGGAGAAAAGAAGATGTTCACTTGTCTCTTCTTGTAAACAACATCTCGGACAAAGTAAATTCACAGTTATATGTCGCCACCGTAAGTAAACATTAACAGCGAGAGCACGAGAACAAACACGCCATAAGAAGCGTTGTAATTTTCCAGGTATTGCAGTACGCCAAATATTTTTTGCTAATATCGGATGCGATGCTAAAGGAGGTTCCGGTTCCAAGTTGGAAAGACTTACAGCAAGATGATAGCCCGATTTAACATAGTAGATACCAGAGGTCGTGTGTTGCCAAACCATGGAATCTAGAGACGACTAAGGAGGAAGGAAGATTTGCTGAATGTGATGATGATCCTCCTGCTCAGTGAGATCTATTAGTAGTTGTTCATCCCAAAGCCGAGTAGAATTGTCAATGAGAATTTGGACTGGTAAAGTAGGATTAGTATAAGGAAGTAGACGTAGAGGTCTGGGTGGAGTGGTGGGAATCCAAGCTGTGTTTAACTTTGTGTCTTGACCGTTACCAATTTGAGGTTGTAGACCAAAAGATAGTAGATCACGACCAATAGAAGAGATTGCCAGCCGTATGAAGGTTGAGATCCTTTGTTCGCTGCTAGAAGTGTTCTGTCTCGAAAGTAACGACTTTTTAAAACTCTGTGTAAAAGACAGTGAGGTCGTTGTAAGAGTTTCCAAACTTGGTTAGCAAGCAAAGTTTGATTGAATTTTTGTAGATCACGAAAGTCGAGTCCCCCTCTAGATTTTGGAGTAGATAATTTTTGCCAAGAAACTCATGAGATTTTACGGTTTGCTGTAGTTCCACCCCACCAGAACCGTGAGAGAAGACTATTAAGATCGGAGCATAATTCCGCAGGTAGCTGGAAACAATTCATTGAATATACTGGCATAGCGAAGGCAACTGATTTTATCAGGGTTTCCTTGCCGGCCATAGAGAGAAACCGGTTTTGCCAAACCAGTGAGTTTACCTAGGACATTATCCTTAATGTAGTGAAACATCTTCTTCTTATTACACCCAAATTGCTCTGGAAGACCAAGATATTTACCTCCACCGCCGACGTTAGGAATGCGTAGAAGTTGTTTTATATTCTCTCGGGTATGATGGAAGACATGTTCACCAAAAGTAATGGGTGATTTTTCAAAATTGATTATCTGACCCGAAGCTTTCCCATATAATTGAAAAATTTCTGCTAAGTTCTGACTATTCCGAATGTATGCTCTTAAAAAGAAGAGAGAGTCATCTGCAAAAAGCAGATGTGATATGGGAGGACCTCCAATACTCAGTTGTATAGGTTGAATAGCTTGAGACGTTGTTGCAGTTTCCATCAAGGAGCTCAGGACATCCGCACACAAAATAAAGAGGTAAGAAGACAATAGATCGCCTTGTCTAAGACCTCTTTCCGGTGTAAAATGTCCATATGGGCTTTCGTTGATCAAAACAGAGAAAGATACGGAAGAAACACAGGCCATTATCCATTGAATCCATATCTCCGAAAAACCTTTTTTCGTAGAACTTCTTGTAGAAAAGTTCCATTCTATATGATCGTATGCTTTGCTTATGTCAGTCTTCACCGCCATATGGGAGTTTGCACAACGCTTCCGTACCCGTAAATAATGGAGAGTTTCATGGGCAAGAAGAACATTGTCGGTAATTTGCCTCCTGGGAATAAACACAGCTTGGTTTTCTGAGACGACTTGAGAAAAAGTCAAACAATTTTTATAAACTTGAAACAATAATATAATTATATTTTACTATATTATATTATTTATATATGTTTAAATGTATACTTATTAATTTATCTAATTATTAGGACTATATTTCTACATAGGAGTTTCAAAAAAAATATTATTTTTATCTTATCGAAAATTTCTAATTTTTACACTGGTCCGACTTGGGACCGGCAAAAAATTATTAATTTATAGTGATTATTAATTTATCCAGTATTAATTTATAGAGGTTATACTGTATATCTTTTGTTTTCACTCTGAAGGAAGATGAGGACTATCATTTTCACCACTTGGATTTGATCATGTAGCTAAAGGCACGTCTAAGTATAATCATGGATGCAATATTTAGTTTCTATTTGTCGCTTTTAAATTCATACTAGGTGTTTTCCGCACTTTGTGCGGAGTTCAATTAAAATTTTTTAAAAGTATAACATTAGTTTATTTATAGATAAAAAAAAATCAGATTTTATAATAATTCGAAACGAAACTTAATATATTTGAAAAATACAATTTTCATGAGTATATTATTTTTTTGTGACAAAGCAAAATATATTATTTATATCTTATTTTTAATATCTTATATATTATCCGATAAAAACTTATTTGTATGCTTTGTTGTTTTGTTGCATTTATTAAATATGATAAATAATTCTCTTCTTTTGATGTAAATTGATAGATTAAGAATAATGAAATTCAAAGTTTGCATTTTAAAAAAATAGCAATCCAAAATAGAGTTTTAAAAGGGTTTAAGGTTTTACTTGTGGTCTCATAAATCAATTAAGTTTGTCAAAATATTAGTAGATTAAACAATCAAATTAAAATTAGTTCAATAAAATAATTAGAATTTTTTTATGCTAGTTACTCTTTTTAGTAAACTGAATATTTTTATTTTATAAATTCAAATTTGAAAATCTAGATTTAAAAAAAAACGAAAATCAGTTAAAAATTAGATTATATTAATTTGTTAATTTGATTAAGGGTAATTAAAGTATATAAGAGACAAAAAGTAATCAACTATTATAACTCTCAACCAACTTGCTTGCCAATTAATAATATGATTCTCTGTATAACAAGTGAATACAACAACGATTAAAACATAATACAACAACAGTTAAAACATAATAATAATAATTAATACTCACTATGACAATAATTTTTTAATACTATTATATCTATAAAATTAAAATTATTACTATAAACAAAGTAGAAAGAAATGTGTTGAATTTGAATTCATTTACAAATACTTTAGGAGAAGCCTATCACTAAGTATAATAACACATATACATGATATATTAATTAAACAGAGCCAACTGATACATACATGTGTGACTTTTTCATTCTTTTATTAATGTTGGCACGGCCCTATCTCGAACTCTGTCCACCTACAGTTACATTCTCTCTTCTCAATACTCTCCATTGATCCCTTTCCATAACCTAGAGCGTCAGTAAAAAAACAATCAATAAATACAAAGCACTGTTTAATTCGTTACCATAAAAAAACTCATAAATCAAGGCAATTTTTCTACTAAAATATTTTAACGTTAATGGGAATCAAAAATTAAAATGAAATCACAAAATTATACAAACTAGTAGTATTAAAATTCTCCTAAATACTGTATCAAAATTATTAAAAGAAAACAAGAAATCCCCACGTGACCAGCGGCGCACTGCCACGCGCCAGGCCCAGGCTGTGTGTTCCGCTTTTCAACAAAAGCAAGCTCGCTCTCTATCCAATAAGGCACAGCCACGTTATGGTTCCTGACACAATTTTTAAATAGACAAATATATCCAAACCTGTGGATCGTATTTACAAGTCAAACCCAAATCTGAGTCAAAATTAGAAATCTCGCCGTTCCTTTCTTCTTCTTCCCTCTCATTCTTCCACGAAACACTGAAAATACTTTTGAAAGAGAGAGAGAGAAATCACAGAAGAATGTGTGGAATATTCGCGTATCTGAATTTCCACGCGAACAAAGAGAGACGATACATTCTCGATGTTCTCTTCAATGGCCTCCGTCGTCTCGAGTACAGAGGCTACGATTCGGCTGGAATCGCCATCGACGATTCGCTCTCTCGCCACCCAAACCAAAAGTGCCCTGGCTCTTCTCCTCCTCTCGTGTTTCGTCAGGCGGGGAATATCGAATCACTCGTCAATTGCGTCAACGAAGGTTCACTTTCTCTTCTCCTTTCTCTGGATCTTCGATTTTTTCCATTTCCAGTTTTCGACATCGCTTGATTCCACTCGAGGATAGACTCGTCCTTGTGATGATGATGTTGTGTTTCTTTCAATTGCAGAGATTACGAAGATAGATTTAAACTTGGACGAGGTTTTCTATTTTCATGCTGGAATTGCACACACTAGGTGGGCTACTCATGGTGAACCAGCTCCGAGGAACAGTCATCCTCAGTCTTCTGGTCCTGGTGATGATTTTTTGGTGGTTCACAATGGTGTTATCACTAACTATGAGGTTTCTACTTCTCTTTTTTTTTTTATGTATAAGAGAGTTAAAAATGCTCATTTTTTTGTTTGATATGCTCTTGATTTGGTTATTAACCTTCGTACTGTTCTTGCGCTAGGTACTTAAAGAAACGTTAGTGAGGCATGGATTTACTTTTGAATCGGATACAGACACTGAAGTCATCCCTAAGCTTGCTAAATTTGTTTTTGACAAAGCAAATGTAGAAGGTAATGCTTCTGTTGATGAAATTTTCTTACTAGCGTATGAGTTTCTTGTGTTTTTATTTTCTACTGCTATGTCCACGAGTTGAAGGAAGTTTGGATAATAATTTTTGGAAGATGTTAGTTGTAGATGCAGTGAGATGATTTGAAGTAGCTTTTGTTTCGATTTAGCTGGCATGCTCATTGTCATGTGTACATCTGTTTATTATGCTTTATAGGTGAACAAACCGTAAGTTTCTGTGAGGTTGTCTTTGAAGTGATGAGACATCTCGAGGGAGCTTATGCTCTTATATTTAAAAGCTGGCATTATCCGAATGAGTTAATTGCGTGCAAGCGTGGAAGCCCGTTGCTTTTGGGCGTGAAAGTAAGTCACTCTCAGCCACCATAATCAAGAGGCAGTTTCATTCTACACGATCACAAATGTAGCTCAATTTCTCTTAGCCAGTATGTATCAAGCTCTGTCACATTTGAACAACTCATAGGGCAAAAGAGCAAATCTTATATGAAAAGGAGATAAGAAAAGTACTTATGGAACGAAAACTTGGCCTTTTAGCACGGAATAGGTGAAGAGTTGCTTCATATGGCTCCTGGTTTTGCGTTTTTAAGATTTTAACTGAGATGTTAGCTTTATCTTTTTCGCCTCCTTATCCACTCCCAGAATCGAAACCTTTCCAGCTTGTAAGAAACTGCGGTATACCTCATCTTTGCATGCTTTCGTAGGAGCTAGATCAAGACAAGAGCAACACTCATGTTTTCAAGGATGCCCACTTTCTTTCCAAGAACGAGCATCCTAAGGAGTTTTTCCTATCAAGTGACCCACACGCTCTTGTTGAGCATACAAAGAAAGTTCTGGTGATTGAAGATGGCGAAGTTGTTCATCTCAAGGTATAGTAATCATTCATATTTTTTCGAGTCAGTATATATATTCGTTCCCTGCCAAATTTTTAGTATAAATGTTGAATTCTAGCATATGACTAACGAATCTGATTGACTGATCACTAAGAATATGTGCAACATTCACAAGTAGTAACTGTGCAATGAATGGCTTCCATGATAAGTGAACCACTTTATTATATTCGCTAGATATGTACTCACCACATCCACTTTAATTAACAGGATGGAGGCGTGTCAATACTTAAGTTTGAAAACGAGAGGGGAAGGCGTAACGGTTTATCTAGACCTGCTTCAGTGGAGCGTGCGTTATCTGTACTAGAGATGGAGGTGGAGCAAATTAACAAGGGGAAATACGATCACTACATGCAGAAAGAAATCCACGAGCAGCCGGAATCTCTAACCACTACAATGAGAGGCCGGCTTATACGCGGTGGCTCACGCAAAGCCAAAACAGTCCTCCTAGGTGGTTTGAAAGATCACCTAAAGACCATAAGACGCAGCAGACGTATAGTCTTTATCGGGTGTGGGACAAGCTACAACGCCGCTCTTGCATCAAGACCTATCCTTGAAGAGCTCTCTGGTAATTTCTACTAACATCATGTGTCTGTCTTGATTCAAAATTTGGCAGCTCTGCTATAACTTAAGGTCCTCTCTGTAGGTATACCAGTCAGCATGGAGATTGCTAGTGATCTCTGGGACCGACAAGGTCCAATATACAGAGAGGATACTGCAGTATTCGTGAGTCAGTCTGGTGAAACCGCAGATACATTACTTGCTTTGGACTACGCTCGAGAGAACGGTGCGTTATGTGTCGGTATAACTAACACCGTTGGGAGCTCAATAGCTAGAAAAACACACTGTGGTGTCCATATTAACGCAGGAGCTGAGATTGGTGTGGCGAGTACAAAGGTGATTTTTCTTGATTTTTTGAATGTATACACGAATTTGAAGGTTAAGTAAAGAAACTCATGCTTTTCCTTAAAAAAATTATCAGGCATACACAAGTCAGATTGTGGTGATGGTTATGCTAGCTTTAGCAATCGGCAGTGACACAATCTCAAGCCAAACCAGGCGAGAAGCTATAATCGATGGACTACTTGATTTGCCGAGTAAGTTTTTGAGTGAATACGTCAACAATGGTGCTTTCTTCTTTTTTAGACTTGTGTAAGCAAGTGGAACATTATGTGATTGCAGATAAGGTTAGGGAAGTACTAAAGCTAGACGGAGAGATGAAGGATCTTGCGCAGCTTTTAATAGACGAGCAGTCACTGCTTGTGTTTGGCAGAGGATACAACTACGCAACGGCTTTAGAAGGAGCGTTGAAAGTAAAAGAAGTGTCGCTTATGCACAGCGAAGGGATACTCGCGGGAGAGATGAAACACGGTCCTTTGGCTTTGGTCGACGAGAATCTCCCCATCGCTGTGATCGCCACTCGCGACGCTTGTTTCAGCAAACAACAGTCCGTGATTCAGCAGCTTCACGCACGCAAAGGGAGACTGATAGTGATGTGCTCGAAAGGAGATGCTGCTTCTGTGAGCTCTAGTGGTTCTTGTCGAGCTATCGAGGTTCCTCAAGTGGAAGATTGTTTGCAACCTGTTGTTAATATAGTGCCATTACAGGTATAATCTTAATCTCTTAATATCAAATCTAATATAATCTAATAAGTGATTGTGTTTTGTGGTTTTTGGGGAACAGTTGTTGGCTTATCATCTGACTGTTCTGAGAGGTCACAACGTTGACCAGCCGAGGAATCTAGCGAAGAGTGTGACCACTCAATAGAGAGCTAAGAAGAGAAATGACTCTTGTTTTGTATAGTTTTCTAAATGCCTTTGGAGTTTATGATGTTAGGCATCGTTTTATCTTTTTACCTTTTTTGAGTTCTGACAAGCGGAAACTAAAACCGAACTAAAATTTCTTTGAAGTTTTTTTTTAAAATAATTTATATATGTAGAATATTTGACGTAAACCCAAGTCTAAACTCATAAATTATCTAAACTATTAAAAGAGTATCATTGCTAAAATATGTCCAATTCTTACTGTAGTATTTATGATTTATGTCATTGGATTTGCTAGAACATTTCATGATTTTATTAAAGGCATTTCCGACTTGACAAATCCTATGACTAACCAAGTAAATATGATTTCGACACAATATTAGAAAACATACAATATGATCGGTCAATTACATCATGAAAAAATAATATATGGCATAAACTTTGTTTAGCCGGATTCACCTAAACCAATATTGTGTGACTATCTAATGCGTCGTTGTGGAGAATAATTTCAATTCCCTGCAAACATAACTTCAAAATTCATTGCCAGAAAGAAGAAATATCATGAATCACTTTGAGCACACAACTATTAACAACCATCGTAAATTGATTGTTGAATCTAAGTCAAATCCTTTTTGCATCCTTCAACTACTAACATAGGATATTTAGTAGGGAAGATCTGTTCTTATTATATTAACTAACGAAAATCGTATAAACAGTTCTTAAACGGTCGCAAAATTCAGATTCAATACATCTTAATCGATATCTACTTCAAACCAAATAGATAATAACTTTTCTTAAAAACCGGTTTATCTAAACCTCAAAACAAGAATAACATTCAAATTCGATCATATCTACATCAAAACTATTAGAATCCCAAAAAATCGTCGAGTATTTGCAAATTCTCAAAACAGTAATAACAGATATTGGTTTTAAATATACTTCACATATATAACTATCTTATTTACGTAATTAGTTAGAAGTTAAGATATTATAGTATTAAAAGTCTCTGAGATAATTGATAATTAATCATATCTTCTAAAATATGATTTAAAATCCATCTCTATGCATATCTTCACAGAAACTAATAACATGCTAGAGTGGTATATTTTTAAGCAGTTATAGCAATTAGTTATAGTTCAAAATATTTAAGCAAATATTTTGATCATTGATCATCAGCGCATACCGAAAATGACTCTAACTAATTTCGTACTAAAAATATATGAGAATATATCCTTCTTATAGCTATTCATCTTATATATAGGCTCACTAAATACTACACTAAGTATTATTCCTGATTCTCAAAACTCAAAACTCGAAAAATGAGTTCTCTGATTGGTTTCACTAACCTGGCCGATGTCAAACCATTCAAGTCATCCTGGCAAATTCGAGTGAAAGTCCTCCACTCATGGAAGCAGTACACTGTCCAGTCAGGTCAAACTTTGGAGCTGATTCTTGGTGATGAAATGTGAGTGTATTAATATTTTTGTAAAAAATATTGAGTCTTCATTAAATTTGGACAAAAATACAATGAGGTCACATAAGCGGTCAACAATCTAAACTATAAAAAGAGGATCATTTCTAAAATATGTCCAAATCCTACCGTGGTATTTATGATTCATGCCATTGGGTTTGCTAGAACATTTTATGATTTCATTAAGGGCATTTCCGACTTGACAAATCCTATGACTAACCAACTAAATATGATTTCGACACAATATTAGAAAACATACAATACATTCGGTCAATTACATCATGAAAAAATAATATATGGCATACACTTTGTTTAGTCGGATTCACCTAAACCGATATTGTGTGGCCATCTAATGCGTCGTTGTGGAGAATAATTTCAATTCCCTGAAAACATAACTTTAAAATTCATTGCCAGAAAGAAGAAATATCATGAATCACTTTGAGCACACAACTATTAACAACCATCGTAAATTGACTGTTGAATCTAAATCAAATCCTTTTTACGTCCTTCAACTACTAACAGAGGATATTTAGTAGGAAAAATCTGTTCTTATTATATTAACTAACGAAAATCGTATAAACAGTTCTTAAACGGTCGCAAAATTCAGATTCAATACATCTTAACCGATATCTACTTCAAACCAAATAGATAATAACTTTTCTTAAAAACCGGTTTATCTAAACCTCAAAACAAGAATAACATTCAAATTCGATCATATTTACATCAAAACTATTAGAATCCCAAAAAATCGTCGAGTATTTGCAAATTCTCAAAACAGTAATAACAGATATCGGTTTTAAATGTACTTCACATATATAACTATCTTATTTACGTAATTAGTTAGAAGTTAAGATATTGTAGTATTAAAAATCTCGAAGATAATTGATAGTTAATCATATCTTCTAAAATATGATTTAAAATCCATATCTACCCATATCTTCACAGAAACTAATAACATGCTAGAGTGGTATATTCTTAAGCAGTTATAGCAATTAGTTATAGTTCAAAATATTTAAGCAAATATTTTGATCGATGATCATCAACGCATACCGAAAATGACTCTAACTAATTCCGTACTAAAAATATATGAGAATATATCCTTCCTATAGCTATTCCTCTTATATATAGGCTCACTAAATACTACACTAAGTATTATTCCTGATTCTCAAAACTCAGAACTCAAAAAATGAGTTCTCTAATTGGTTTCACTAACCTGGGCGATGTCAAACCATTCAAGTCATCCTGGCGAATCCGAGTGAAAGTCTTCCACTCATGGAAGCAGTACACTTTCCAGTCAGGTCAAACTTTGGAGCTGATTCTTGGTGATGAAAATGTGAGTGTATTAATATTTTTTAATCAAAACTAAACAGCTTATTGAAAGATGGAAATACTATGTAATAATTTTAATGTCACCTTTTGTAGGGTACTTTGATACACGTGTCGTGTAAGAAGACATATGTGAGCCGTGTTGAACGGTTGGTTCCAATAGGAGAATGGAAAGTCATTGAAAACTTCTCTTTGACATCTGCATCTGGTCAGTATCATCCCACTAAGCGCAATTACAAAATATCGTTCACAGACAATACTACTATCACGAAGTGCACTGTCAAAAGCAGCTTAGAATTCATCAATCTCGTGGACTTTGGCACTATTCTAAGTGGTAACGTTAACCACAGCTTCTTGGTTGGTAAGTCGAATTTAACAGCCAATTTATTTCCAGAAAAACATCATTCTTGGAATACCATTAGTTTAGTTATAAGGTTGTTCACTAAATGTTTTGAGTTAACTACCTACTGATATTTTTTTTTTCACAGACGTGATGGGCCAAGTTGTTGACGTGAAGGATATTGAAACTGTTCAAGTAAATGGGAAGGAGAGGAAAAAGATTTAATTCGAGCTATGAGATACTAAGTAATCGTTCCATGTAACCCGATCTATTTATCATTATCTAATTAATGTAGTTTTAAAGATCCAATAATTTTCGTCAATTTTTTCATCATGGAAGGGATCGATTAACACTGTTTTCAATTTTATAGTGATGATCGAATGTCATGTTGCTTGTGGGAAAGGTGTGCTGATCAACTTTGGACAAGTTGCCAAGAAACAATTGGACCGGTTGTTATATGCCTAATCAGGTTTGCAAAAATTAGACATTACAGAGGTATGTTTACAAATAACTGACCTCGGTAGGAATTGCATAGAGAATTACGGAATGGATGAATTTTACGGTCCTCATTATAGGCAAACTTCAGATTACAAATGCTTTCGAGACATCCAAGCTAATGATGAATCCTGCTTTACCTGAGGTTGCAGAATTCATGAATGCGTAAGTGTTTAGTAATCAATCGAATGCCATGTTATATCGATATGTCATTATTAGTTTACATTACCTTAAGGCACATTCATCCTTTTCATGAAATTTCAGTTTGCCAGATGATGGTCTTGCTCTCACCATTGTTGAGACTCCAAATGATGATAAGATGGTGAAGAAGAAAGAGTACTGGTCTAACCTGCAACAGAAGACTATTGAGGAGTTACTAATTACCTCGGAGGTAAAACTGAAAACAGTGTTCTTTTTTAATAATACCACATGTTCTCTACAATGCTCATATATTTGTTATGACTATATATTCTAACACAATTTTTTGGACCTTGGAAGGTTGAGAAGTGCAAGATTGTGTGTTCGATCTATGTCATTGACACAGAATGGGGTTGGTACTATTTTGGGTGCATAAAATACAACAGAAAGGTTGAAAAAAGAACTAAGAAGCAATCATGAGCAACAGTTTGTATCAATGGCCCTTACTGGTGGTGTAAGGCGTGCAATGAAATCGTCACTAAAGTGGAGGCCAAGTAAATGTTACTAAAACGTTTACACTTACATGGTTTATACTATTTAATAGTTTAGATGTCCTATTATTAGTAACTGCATTATATTTAACGTGCACATTGTAGGTTTAAACTGCATTTTATGGTTATGGACCAAACAGCAAAGACTAAGGTGATGCTACTTGATACGGTCGCTAGCACTACTGTACCGCAGTCAGCTACAAAACTTCTAGGGGATTCTTTTGATGAGGTATAAGCGTGTAATTATAATTATTTTATAGTATGTTTAACTTATGATTATCGTTAAAAAGATTTGTCTAATTATTTTTGCTGTTTGAATTAACTAGATGGTTGATACTGAAAATATTCCACAAGCTAATAAAAATTTGATACGCAAGACTTTCCAGTTCTGTGTTTGTGTTGAGAAGGAAAATTTGTATTACAGTTTGGAGACGTATAAGGTTGGGAATGTATACTCTGGAGATGAAATTATCACATTTGCAGACTCTTCTTTGGACCAACTGACTCAAGTTGATAATTTATCAACTATTATTTCCGCTAATGAAGTATTTTTACATATTTTTATTATTTAACTAATAATTTTATTTATTCGTGTCGAAATATCCTAATTGTGATCTAATTACTACGTACGTTTCAATTATCCACAGCAACAGCGACGAAAATTCAATGATAAGCACTACTCCTTCAAGTAAGCGTTCTTCTGATGAGTTGGAAAGCTTACCTGATCTGTCTTCAACATCGAAAAAGCTATGTATGACGACAATCAAACAAGAGAAGATTGATGGAAAGTTGCCTGCCAGTGAAAAAGAGATTGTTGTGATTAAACGTGAAAAAAAATGTAGTGGAAAAGAAAACCAGAAACGATGACAGTCAGAAAATTCTAGCCGGAACCAAAGAAAAAGAGAAGGAGAAGTAACTTGCAACATTCAAAGTTGAGATACATTTTTCAGGATCATTTCATTTTTCAATTGAACTTTCTTTTGATGACATTGAGTAATCGTTTCTATTCTCATTTGCTTGTGGTTTTATGGTTTTGGATTTTTGAAAATCAATAAGACTGGTTTTCCCTTGAATTTTGATCTATTGATTATTCACTGAAGTAAATTATATCTAAAACGAAAATACTTATCCGTTTTAGTCTTATATGGATTATAAAATATGTCTAAATTCACAACTATTGGTCCTTTATATTTTTTGATCTGCTAGAGATATTAATTTATTTTGGGCTATTCTCTAAACAATTTGTTCAAGTATGAAGCACAAACAAAACCAACTATATAACATAATTGGGCTGTATATTTATGCAATTATTTTAAGCAATTGAGATTTTGGCTATCAACGATTCGACCAATAACTTCATTATAAATGAAATCATCTTTAGTCAAATCGTGATCTTTTACGGTTCAAAGTTTCTGAAGAAAATTTGTTTTTTTTAACTTACCGATGCAATTGTATTGTCTTTTCCCATTCCCTTTTTTTGAAAATGTCACCTACAAACCTGACACAAAGTTAATTTGAGTTATAGGGATTGCATTGATAACAAAACTTAAATTTATTTACCTAAATTCTAAAATGCAATGCATCTAAAGCTGTAACCTACATCTCATCCCATTATATATAGAAGATGAAGTTCCCAAACTAATAACAAACACAACCTTTTTTCTTCATTTCTTAATTTCTAAATACTAAAACCATGATTTTTATCTATGATAAAGTAATTGATCTTCATCAATGGAAAACTCACTGGTTTATGCGTGTGAAAATTCATAGGAAGTGGCTTACCATTGATCAAGATGGAGTTCAGTCTCTCCATTTTGTATTGATTGATGAACGTGTAAGCAATTTATTCTACGTCTATGGTTATTTTGTTGTTCATCTTAAAATTTTATCTGTTTTCATCTAAGTATTGTTTTTTCAGTATATTAACTAGACCTATTTTCTATACAAAATTTGTGTAGGGTGACAAAATTCACGGTTATATAAACTGGGAGTGGATGATACCATATTTTGACCAGAAAATGCAGGAAGGAGAGTGGAAGAAAATCTACAATTTTACAGTCATCAGAGTTTCGAATCTGGTGCGTTTAACTGAAACTGATAAAGAACTCAGTTTCCTAGAGAACACTGAGGTGAAAAGAACGAAGTTCGATAGTGAAGACCACTTCCAAAATTTCAAAAGCTTTGATACTCTTTTCAACCTCGATGTCCCTCTACAACTTCCTGTTGGTAAAATACTTTAAACTCTTCCTATTATATACTATAAAGATTCTTATTTTGCAAGTTCCAATGATCGTAAACTCATTTTAATTTTAATATAGATGTTATTGGGAAAGTTACGCATGTTGAGGATCTACAGTTGGTCCATGATGACCTGTTTGGTCCTCACTCTCCAAAACAAATATGTCGTCTAAAGTTCACGATGGTCAATAACGAGTAAGATTGTACAATTTTTTCGTTTTTTGTTTGATCTTTGAATGTTGTTTTTGTTATGCAATTTGTTTCATGGCAGTGATGAAGCTATTCAATGTGTGGCTTTTGGGAAACTGGCTGAGGATTTTAATCAGCATTGGTACTGTCTTGACGACGTTAAAGCAGTTTGTGTTTTATCTGATTGGCGTCTTAGGATTGTTAATGGTAAATATTAACCTTTAATAAGTAATAAATTTGTTTTAAATATTAGATTAGCATTAACTCTAATACAATATAATACCGTCTTTGTTTTAAAACTAGGTGTTGAACAATTGATGGATGATAGAGGAGTTTCTCGATTTTATTTCGATCTCGAAATTGAAGAGGTGTTCGAATTCAAAGAGAACATGTAAGTTCCTTTATGTTTAGTTGGTTTCTACTTAAAGCTGTGAATGGTTTAGATAAAATATTTTAGGTTTCTTGGGCTTTTTAATGAATATGAACTACTGATATGTCTATTTTGTTTCTACATAAATATCAGGCCAAACACACTCATTGAGATTGATTAAAAGAGCAGAAGAGGTGTAAAACTATTGTCGGATTCGAAGCAACGTGGAAGAATGTTTTAAAAGTGTGATTCGTATTTCATTTTAAGTTTTAAGTTATTTGTTGAACTTTCTTTATTTTCAGCTTTATCTCGTGTGTTGAATATTCCGTTTTCAGTTTCAATTACTTTTCTAAACTATTGTTATTTCTAGAAATTTTAATTGTGGTTTGTATTTCATATTAAGTTTTATGTACTTTAGTTAAATATTTAAGTTTATGTAAATATATTCTATCGAATATTTAGTATCTGTTTAGTATATATTTTTAAAGATATTGTAATGCTGTGACTTTCTAGAGATTTCCTTAACTATATTCTAACAACCAAAAACACAATGGGTTTGAATGGTATGCAGCTTTTTTACGTTTTCACGTTTTGGAAACTTGATTCTGTTATTTTTTACCATTCATGTTATTCATCACGTTTTCACGTTTTTTTATGTTTTTGAAACGTGATTCCGCTAGCGTGTTAAAAATATAACTAAAAAAAACAAAACGTGATTAATCTACTAAAAGTAGTTTTTCAGCATTTCACAATTATTCAGCTAAAATATTATTCATTTCAGTTCATTCCACTAGTAATTTTTCAGTTATTCTGCTATTCTGTTATTCATCTGACATACCAGTCAGACCCAATACCTCTGAACTAAATAATTCTTAGATTTTTAATAACAAAAACTACTTTTACGGGAGCGTGATTTAGTACATCCATCAAAACTAATTCTTAATCATATTCACAGCATTTCACTAAGAATTGTAAACGAGATGAAATTACTGGTGATGGAAATTTTCAAGTTTCTACCTCTAAGAAGAATAAGAGAAGAAGAAATACTTTTCAGAACGAGAATGAATCTCAATTTGTGCAGTCACAAAAAAGTTTTATAACGCAATTAACACTAAATATCGAGAACAGAGTTTTACGTGATGTTTCAAACGTACCTTTGCCAAATAATGTACCTGCGTCCAGTGAAACAAGCAATTCCTTTCAGACACCTGCAAAAGGATACTCTACAATATCAGGTAATGTTTTTGTGTAACAAATACTATATCTTAGATTAGCTAATATCGTAAACTAAATGTCCATTTTTTTTTAGATGATCCAACTTCCTCGGTAGTACGCACTACTAATAATTTCGAGAGAAGTTGTTTATCATATTTGAACCTAAATGAATTTGAGAAGGATCAAATTCACTTTTTTCAAGCTTTCGATCGCAGCAGTCGTCATCATCTTCTAGGCTTGATCCATTTCATGATATGCATTTAGATAAAACAAAAACAGATCAGACTCCCTAAAACTATTCATCAGAAAGTTGTAGATAATACGAAACATTATGATACTATTATTACCGAATTATAGTATTCTTTCATCAAATATTTTTACTTTACTATTACACTAAGATTGTATTATATTGTGATCAACAGGATCTGACGAAGAGTCTGATGAACAAGATTTCGATTGTAGTAGTCAAGAAGATACACATTCAGACAATTCTGATGAGGATGATTTATAATATCCGGTTCCCTCACAACATACAGAAGACCATTCGAGAATAAAAAACGTAGCTGACTTACTGAAAACCATGTTTTCTACTCCATACGATGTCAAAAATGCAAACAAAACCTCAGGTTTGAATGTTTCTCCTATATTACAATATTTAGTTTAAAAATGTTTGTTAAGCATTTACGTGACTAACATATTATCCTATTTTGTAGAATACAATGATGAGGGTGATCCCGTATATAGCTGTAAACATTGTGGTGCCTTATTTTGGTATGGAGAGCGCATTAACAAGAAAAGAAAATTAAAGAACCCAATATTTACGTTGTGTTGTCTACAAGGGTAAGTTGTTTTGCCTCAACTAAAGGATACTCCTCCCTACTTGAATCATCTCCTTACATCTAATGATGAGCTAAGTAAACATTTCCAGAAGAATATTAGGCCATATAACATGGTTTTCTCTATGACATCTATAGGAGGAAAAGTAGATCGCTCAGATAAAAAAGGAAAAGGGCCTCAAATGTTTCAGCTGCAAGGTGAAAACTACCACTTAATGGGTAGTATGCTTCCTAGACGTGGTGATTATGCTAAGTTCTACCAGCTTTACATAGTTGATACTGAAAATGAGGTCAATAACAGAGTTAATGTTCTCAGGTATCTATTCTTATGCGTTAATGTTTACTACCTCTATACTTTATCTACAAGTAATTGAATCCATAGTATCGTTTTGTATATTTTTTGTTGCAGTAAATCGAAAAATTCAACTCAGCCTACCAAAAATAACAAACTCAGGAAAGAAATCATTGATGCATTAATCAAAATGTTAAATGATAGCAACCCATATGTATCCCAATTTCGTACTGCAAGGGAGCGATTTAACACAAATCCTGAAGAAATTTTTCATTTGAGGATTTTGGATGCTATACCTACAAATGCAAGAACATACAATAGGCCAACATCTTCAGAAGTTTCTGCAATTATTCCAGGGGATTTCAATATTGAAATGGATAAAAGAGATATCGTTCTGCAAAAACAATGTGGGAAGCTAAAGAGAATAAGTGAATTTCATCCGTCTTATATGCCTCTCCAGTATCCATTGCTTTTCCCCCATGGAGAGGATGGTTTTAGGCCTCAGATTAAAAAGGGGATTACTACTACTTCTAAAAAATCGAAGAAGGAAGGTATAAGTATGCGTCATTTTTTTGCATTCCGTATTCAGGATCGTGATAATGAATCACCTATTCTGCTTAGATCAAGAAGGTTATTTCAACAATTTCTGGTTGATAACTACACTATGATAGAAGCTAATAGATTATCCTACTTGAGAAAGAATCAATCGTCTTTGAGGTCTGATAGTTATGACTCTATAAAACAAGCTGAAGAAGATGGTGTTACTGACCTAAGTGAGCATGGAAATCGATTTTATCTACCAGCATCATTTACAGACGGTCCAAGATACATGAAAAATATGTATCTGGACGCTATGGCCATTTGCAGGCATTTCGGTTTCCCAGATTTGTTCATTACATTCACGTATAATTCTAAATGGCCTGAAATCAGTAGGTACCTAGAGAAGCGTAATCTCAAGGCTGAAGATAGGCCAGATATCATTTGTCGTATTTTCAAGATGAAGCTTGATTCTCTAATGCTTGATTTGACAGAGAAGGCCATGTTAGGGAAAACTGTTTCATGTAAGTTATTCAGCTATGCGTTTGTTTATTTTGTAGATTCTAAATTTATTTTTATTCTAATGCTATTCTTTTCATTTCGCAGCAATGTACACTATATAATTTCAGAAACGAGGTCTACCACATGCTCATATTCTTTTATTCATGCATCATAAATGCAAGTTCATAACTACTGATGATATAGACAAGATCATCTCTGCTGAGATTCCTGATCATTTTAAGGAACCTATTCTATATGAAGTGGTTAAAGATATGATGATTCATGGACCTTGCGGTCAGGTTAACTTGAATTCACCATGTATGGAGAATGGTAAATGCACCAAGTTATATCCTAAGGCTCATGCAGAGAAGACAACAGTCAATATAGAAGGTTTTCCAGTTTACAGAAGGCGTGAGCAAGCAGATAAGTTTGTTGAGAAAAATGGTTTTAACTGTGATAACAGATATGTTATTTCATATAACAAAGAGTTGTCAATTCGTTATCGAGCTCACATTAAAGTGGAATGGTGCAATCAGTCTGGATCTATCAAGTATTTATTTAAATACATTACTAAAGGAGTTGATCGTGTAGCTGTTGTTGTTGAGCCACCAGAGATGGATGAAGAAAATGATCAAACAAGAAATCCGGGGAACGGCACAAAACAAAAACACAATGCCTCTGGTAAAAACAAAAGTCATGCTCCTCAAAAAGTTGATGAGATTAAAGATTTCTTCGATTGTAGGTTAGTATTTTTTAAAGGTTTGGTGATATTATTATTCATTATTTGTTATAATCCTTTAATACAATATAGCTTAACTAATTCTTATATAATTTCAGGTATGTTTCTGCTTGCGAAGCTGCTTGGAGGATTTTTAAGTTTCCTATTCACTATCGATCAACACAAGTTGAAAAACTTAATTGGCATCTACCGGGTAAACAAAATGTGATATGGAAAGATGGTGATAAAGTGAATCAAGTAGTGTCTCGAAACTTATTGAGGATACAATATTCCTTGCATAGTTTGAATTGAACAAGGTAGATTCTGATGCGGAGAAACAAACCTACGCTCAAATCCCTACTAAGTTTACTTATAATCAGAGGCATAAGTGTTTTAAACCGAGAGAGAGAGGTTTTGCTATTGGTAGAATTAATTATGCTCCAAGGAAGATAGAATCTGCATATTATCTTTGTGTTGGTCCAAAGTGTTATAAGGATATAAAAACTTTCAATAAAGTTGTGTATCCTACATATAAAGATGCTTGCTACGCCAGAGGTTTGCTAGATGATGACCAAGAGTATATTGATGATATTGTTAGAAGGAGTTTTACGTGCAGTCCATCCGAGCTTCGTCAGATTTTTTGTATATGCTCAGTTCTGATAGTTTATCTACTCCTGAAGTTGTCTGGAATAATACATGGCAATTTCTTTCGGATGACATAGAGTTCAAGAAAAGACAGAGTTGAATAGGCCAGGTTTGTACTTTCTATATACCCGCTCTCAGGTTATCTATATATGTTAGACATTTGTGCGGCTTAGTTATTGTATCAGATATTCTATTTGAATTGTAATGGGTCTCTTTTTATATTTCAGAAAAAAATCTAAGTGATGATGATAAGAAAAAGTTTTGTCTTCATGAGATTGATA